CTAGGGCGGAAGGAGGAGCGAGAGGAGGAGCAGAGAGGCCAGGGGCTGGGGGCGGGGCGGGGCGGTTTGTCCTGCAATATCAACACCTGGTCCAAGGAATGTTCCAACTCTAACTAAAAAAAAGAAATAGCAAGAGTGACTTTTTTTCCTTTTTAAAAGTTTATTTTAAAAACATGAAGAGGGCCAAGGATGGCAGGGAGAAAATGAATTGCTTTCCCCTGAAAGAAGCAGTTTCAGAAAGACTGGGGCGGGGGGGGGGGAATAGAGATTTATATATATATCTATATAATTTTATAGGTTGTTTTGCTTTTTGTGTTTTTTTATTTAAAAAAAATTTTTTTTTTGGCAGAGATTTAGTTCTCGCTATCTTCTATGGCTGGCTCAACATGAAGGATCCCAATTTTGAAAGAAAAAAGCATGTGAGACACACAGAATGAGCGAGAGTGAGAGAGCCAGGCACTGACCTCCGAGCCACTCACAGAGAGGGCCCCCCGCCCCCCATGGTAGCCACCGCTCTCACCAAATGGAAAAACAACCGAAAAACAAAATAAAGCCCCCAAATGAAACAAAATGGAAAAATAATAATAAAAGAATTTTCACAGATGAAGAAGTTCACATTCATTCGATTCATTGAGCCTGCGGAGAGGGAAGAGATAGGAATCGGTCACTACGGGGAGGGGAGGCGGGGGCGGGAGACTGGGGGACAGTGGCGAGGAGGGGGCCAGGAAGCCCCTCTCCTGAGCCGGTGCCTAGCAAGATGTGTCTGTAACTGTCTAGTCAAGTGCTCCTGGGACACGGCTCAAGCCAGACTGGCTCCTTGGTGGAAGAGGAGGAGAAAAGACACAGAGGCGAGGAGAGAGAAGCAGGGCCGAGAGCGCGAGCGAGCGGGAGGGAGGGAGCGCAGAGCGGAGGAGAGCAGAGGGCGTTCGGGGTCTGGAGGGAGGAGGCGGGCGGCTCCCGGCGCATCACAACATGAACAATCTCAGAGATCACGGTGTCCCCACAACACCCCTGTGAGGTAGGTTGGAAGGTGGCAGCGATCATCATGCCCACTTCACAGACAAGACCGGGACACACGGTTGGGCGCCGGAGCAGAGGCCGAGCCCAGGCGGAGCAGGTGGCGGGGGGCCCCAGGGCCGGTCCCCTTGGCAGGCTCTCCGAGTCCCCACCCCAGCCGGGGCGG